AGACAGAGAGAGACATAGAGACAGAAAGCGAGAAATCACCCCCCAGGGAGGATGGCCACGCTGCAATCCCTTCTCCTCCATTCTCCTCTTGGGATCTTGGGCATGCACGCACACGCACCTGGCATGAGTTTAAGCCACTGGGTCCAGGGCTCGAACCACGGTCGACTACGTGGGAGTCCAGCGACAAAGCCATTACGCTAACTGCTGGTCCCCTCACAGAGGGCAGCTTTGAGTGGAGTCCTCATGTGGCGGAAGGGGCTAGCTAGCTCGTCAGGCCTTGTTTACCTCACGACCCTTTATAAGGACAGTAATCCCCCTGTTAGGGTTCTGCCCTAATGCTTAATCACCTCCCGAATGTCCCACGTCCTAATCCCATCACATCATGATCAGGTTTCAGCCTATGAACTTAGAGAGGCCATAAACATTTGGGTCATAGCAGTGGGAAGCGGAAAGATCATTTTGAAAGAGAATAACTGCAGGAAACAGAAGCAGGCCGAGGTGCAGGAGTTGAGTGTAGTCAGCAAGAGGGAGGTGGCTACAGACGAGGTTAGAAATACCAGGGACGCCACCTCAGCTCACGGAAGAGTTTGAAGACCAAATTAAACAGTGTGGACTTTTCCTCCTGCAGGAGATGATTCAGGGATGCCCCACGCGTTGATTTCTCCTCACCCCCTTTGTCCCTGTCTTCTGAGATTTAGCTCCAGCTCACAGCTGGGACTCGGAGCATCTTATGATCATGACTTTTACCTCATGGGATCTGCCCATGGCCAGGGTGTTCTAGAAATAGCGACGTCAGGGCAAAGTGCAGGGGGCTGTGGGGAGAGTGCAGCTCTTCCACGATGTGTTGGGCTTCTTTGCAGGCCGTGAGAAAACACTGATAGACAGGCAGGGCTGAGGCTTGCAGGGGTGGCAGTTAGGTATGTGTGGAGTGAGGAGGGAGAAAGACGGAGTCCTGAACGCGGAGCAGGGCGGCCTGTGAGAACAGGGGCTCCCTCTCTGCCCTGTGGGGGCTCGCGCCGCGTCGTGGCAACCAACAAGGAAGCTTAGAAGAAGATGGTGAGAGCTTCTACAATTCGGGCATAGAGAAAGATGACACCACCTGCTCAAAGTGGGAGGGTGAGGACCAGCAGATGGGGTAGCGGTTACATTGCTGGACTCCCACACGGCTGGCTGCAGTTCGAGTCCCAGACCCGGTGGCTTGAAACTCACACTGCGTGTGTGCCCAAGGGAAAAAGAATGGAGGAGATGGGATTGTAGTGTGGCCATCCCCCAGGGGGTGATTTCTCGCTTTCCCTCTCACCATCTCAGCCTCCCCCTTCTCCCCAAGCACACACAGCCTAAGGAAAAACTTCTTTAAAGAAAAAAAAAAAAAGTGGGCTGGTGAGATCAGGGTCCAGATTTTCCTGGCTTTGCATTACGGGGTATAGGAAAAACGACCTGATTGCTCCCTGATAGCTACCCCAAGACCTTGCCATACTCCATGAAGTTTGTGGCCACCAACCCTTCACACGATAGCATTACACATTTCCAACTCCAAATACTCTTTATACCAAATTTCTTGATTGATTTTTCTATATGCCATTAACTCATTTTATAGCTCCCAGGGCTAGAAGCTATTACCGCCCAAGTTCAAGTAAATTTTCAATTTAACAAGTCTTTATGGCCTTTCCAATGTAACTTGATTAGACGACATTAAAGATAAACCAAACATCTTTAATTTGTCTCAAAGGGCCAAACCACGAAAACCATTTCCCCGGCCTTGAGGCTGTAATGAGAGCATACAAACTAGTCCATTTTGTACCATAGGCAAAGTTTCCACTCCGTTGGCCACACAAGTGAGATGGGGCCAATCTTGCATCAGCGAGATGTCTACTTTATCATTCTTATTCCCCCCAGTGACGCTAGAGCCTCTCGTCTGTAATCACTAAAAAGCTCAGTTACGGTCTTGAGACACTGTCAGTTCACGGAGAGCTATTTCAGAAAGCGGCAGATTTTTTTTTTTTTTTTAAAGAAAGAGATAAAAAATGGATGAGTAGCTGATACAGTACGTATAATACTTAGTAACACATCCATCGTGTGCTTAGGGAGAAACCAAGTCCATTTGAGCTCCGCGTTATTGACATGTGCGATGTTCTTCGCCACTCGAAATGCTTACTTTTAAGGTTCAAGAGCTCTGTACGGTTGCTTCCTCTATTGTTAGGAAGGGGCGCGTTTTAATGTTAACACTGAGCAGCTTTGTCACCTACAGCCTTTTTGGTGGCGGGAGTAATAACCAACGAAATGAAGGGCTGCGTGGTGTCCTGGATCCACAGGCGGCCTTCTCCCGGAAGCTGCCGTTTTTGACCCTTTATCTAAAAGCAACGTCCTGGTTCTGCTCCTGGGACCTGTCCTGACCTTCATCAGGGACAGTCTTAGGAAACAGCCCAGTCTCGGTTGGTTCAGCGTTGCCGACCTCGCTGCGTGGGGGTCCAGTTGTGCTACGCTGGTAGTTACCGATGCCTGGCTTTGACTCTCCCATTGATCCATTGATTGCAGGGTTCTGTGATGGGAGGCAGAACACTTGTTTAGAATCCCTACTCGGCTGTATTCCTGTCTGTTAGCCCTGGGTAGAGGAGGATGATGATGATTTTTGGAGAGGTTTTTGCTATAGGGCGCATGCACTCACCAGATAGACAGAGAGAGACAGAGAGAAAGCGAGAAATCACCCCCCAGGGGGGATGGCCACGGCGTAATCCCTTCTCCTCCATTCTCCTCTCAGGATCTTGGGCACGCACGCACATGCACCTGGTGTGAGTCTAGCCCTGGGTAGATTACTAATATTTTACTTCTCCGAGCCTCAGATACACCATCTCTGAAATGTTACAACTATGATGTTGCAAAGGTGCTATATCATGTCTAGCTTTAGTCTGGCAAACACTGGGGTGTCGGAAGAGTCATGGTGGATTTTTTTTTTTATACAAAAATGCATCATGAGTTTTCCAACAATCCAATAGAAAGCAGTCCCATGTTTTTTTGTTATTTTCCCCTTTCTGCCAAGTTTCAGGCTTCATGTATTCCTTATTACACACGTTCTCATAGGCAGGTAAGGACGGCGTTAGCTGAGTGTCTTCAGGGATTGGCGCTCTGTGACCTGCTGCTGGACCATGTTGATGACCGTACCATCTGCCCGCACCCCTTACATGTTAGCTGACCTTAGGGTCCCCGCAACTGTGCTCGCCCATCTGTTCAGACAGCTGTTCACATCTGACCGAATTGCCTTAACGACCGCCATACGCCTGGGCCACCAACCATTGTATGTCGCCATATTTTATAATGATTTTTGATGACCCTGGCTAGCTGGGCTTCCCCCATTCCTGACCCACAAAAATGTAATGTTTCATCTCTGCTTCATTCCTAGTTTTGGTCACTATAAAATATGAGAAATGGGCCAAAATGTAACCAAGTTTCTAACATGAATAAAGAAACTTGCTAACTTAAAAATGTCAGCCTATTATCGTAGGAAAGCTAAATCGCATTATAAACTAAAATATGCGTCTTAGGAGAAAATACCGATAATTTTGGCACTAATAATTTATAGCACAGACTTAAGCACTTGTCAAAATTCATTACTCCTTTGGGTGAATGAATAAACATTAAGATCTTGGAATTTGAAAAGGCTATCATACCTTAACACTGTGTGGCAGAAGCCAAGGTAAATATCACAAGGTCAGTGGAAGAGACATTAAAAGTAAAAGGCAGCCCGTATGTACGAGCAACCATGAGTTAGCCTTTCCTTGCTCGATCAGTTCCAACAACAATGGCTTGTTTGGTGAACTAAGTGTCTGTGTTGTTTGTAAAATGTCATTAGCTATTAGTTTATAAATTGTTGAACTAAAATAAATGCTTGGGTTTATATTAATTCCAGTGGTTGGAATTCGGTCAACTTTGGCATTTAAACCCAAAATCACTGTCGGTACTTTAATACATTAAAGCCTTTCATTACCAATTTCTTTCTGCGAGTTTTAAAATTAGCATAGTAACAAAGACTAGTTCATAAATTTCCTTGTTTCCAGTTTCTATTGGAATTAGATCAATATTGTGTCTACATAGCTATAGCTATGTCTATAGAAACATCTTTAGTTCTATGTCTTTATGTGATAGAACTAGAAAATGGATTGCTTAATAATCAGACACTGGAGAAACATTTTCATCATTTAACAATACTATAGAGTCACCTGGAATTTTCTAATAGTCCTTTACCTTCTTAATGTTTACATGTAGAGTTTTTTTAACAATAATCTAAATAAACATCTGTTGACACCTCTCATTACATTAAGCGATACAGTAATGGTCTGGATCCGCTGCTGCACCTCTCCACACCTCTGAAAACCAAGACGTGGCCTTGCTCTGATATTCACAGTGAATGGGCTCAAGGGTTCGCAGGTTGATAGCCGAGCAATGATGATACAAAGAAAATCAATACATTCAATCTTAGCGACTAAAATATCTGAATTGGCAAGAAAGACATCAATGAATAACAGCTGAAGAAGACAAACCCAAATCAGTCACTAGACCTAAAAACAGTAAGCCTTTGACCCAAAGCACAGGCCTCTTTAGTACCATTTGTCATCTTGTTCTGTTCACGAAGAAAGGCACACTGTATAAGACCCTACCACAGTGTATTCAACTACAGACAACGATTTACAAACCCTTAGGCCAACAGGATAGAATCAGCAATGTGACTAAGTAATATGGGAAAACCTCCACTCTGAGAAGGAAAAAGCATGAGTTTATAAATTGTTGAACTAAAATAAATGAACTTTTCCTAACTGTTTAAAAAGGTAACTTCATTGAAATGATCCCTGAGCCTCTAATAATATGCAAAAATATCACTAGACTGTGAACCTTTCGCCAAGTCGGAAGATAAAAATGCCCTAGCACCAATTTACTCAGTGAAAGGTTGAATTTAATCGGGTTAAGCAGACATCCCTCTTTTTCTTTCCCCTGCCCAAGAAACTCACAACTTTCGATCTCCAGGGTGCAGTTTTGCTCATCCAGGGGGTATCTTCGAAGATCCATCATGCACGCAGCCGTGGTTGTGATCCTGCCATAGGAGACAGAAAAAGATGGCATCACTAGAGTGGTGACCTTCCATTTCTAGGCTCGCCAGCCCCGGTCATGTTTACCAACTGGCAAAACAAGGCATCCCTAGGCCAGCAGGTGGGGTGCTGTTTAAAGCAGCTGGACTCCCACATGGCCCACCATGGTTCAGAAAGTATGCTGGGCGCGTGTGTGTGGGTGGCCAAAATCCCAGGAGGAGAAAGGAGGAGATGGAATTACAGCATGCCAGCCCATCTGGAGGATGATTTCTTATTTTTCCTTTCCTTGTCTCTCCCTGCCTCTCTGGTGAGCACAAGTGCCCTAAGACAAAATCCTTTAAAAAAGAAAGAAAGAAAGAAAGAAAGAAAGAAAGAAAGAAAGAAAGAAAGAAAGAAAGAAAGAAAGAAAGAAAGAAAGAAAGAAAGGAAGAAAGCATCCAAATGTGAAAGCATGAGAGACTATCGTAAATAGTAAATCCAACAAACTGGATAACTTAAGTAGATAAGGGAAAATGGATACATTTCGCAAAATGGCATCAATAAGTAGCCTGAACTGATCAAAAACAAATAAGGAGACTGAATTAGTAGTCAAAAACTTTGCAACTGAAGTTCAGTACCAGATGGTTTCATGGGTGAATTCAACAAACATGGAAGAAAAGGGAACACTCTCAAGCTAAATTTACAAAGACGGCCTCACATTGATTTCAAAGCAAGACAAAAACAATATGAGCAAACCACAAGCGATATCTTGGATAAATGTAGATGCCAACATTCTCAGTAAAATACTCGTAAACTGAACCCAACTGCAGACTAAAATGGTCATATACCAAGTGGTGTTTACAACATATGTAAATCAGGCTACATAATATACCATATCAATAAAATGAGACAACATGCTTTTCTTAATTGAGGCAGAAAAACAGAAAGCTTTTCTCCTAAAATCTGGAACAGGGCAAGTGTGTCCACTGTTTCCACTGATTTTCAACATAGTACTAGAAGTCCCAGCCAGAGCAATCAGGCAAGGAAAAAATAAATAAAAGGCATCCAATTCAGAAGGAAAGAAGCAAAATCATCTCTGTTTGCAGATGGCATAATTATACACATAGAATACCCAAAGACTACACACACACACACACACACACACACACACACACATGACAGAACATCAAAAAATTTTAGCACGAACAAATGAATTCAATAAAGTTTGAGAATACAAAATACTGGATATGAAAATCGGTGGTGTTTCTATGTACCAGCCATGAAGTGTCTGAAGGGAAATTAAGAAGAGAATTCCATTTTCATTAGTAACAAAGAATAACGCATGCTGGTGAGGCTGTGGAGAGACGGGAAACCTCGTGCTCTGATGCCGTGGAGATGCAGCTTCGTACCACCACCATGGAAAATAGGACAGCTGATTCTCAAAAACTGAAAGTAGAACTGCCTGTGGTCCAGTAATCCCACCACTTTTTCTATCCAAAGGACAGAAAGTCTGTATGTTCAAGGAGAGATCTGCACATCCGTGTTTATTGCAGCACTGTTCCCAATTGCTAAGATATGTGATCAAACTAGTTGCCCCCAAACTGGTGAATGGATGAAGAAAATGTGGTTTATATACAGAAAGGAAGACTCTACAGTCATAAGATGAAATCCTGTCATATGAGGCGAATGGATGAAGCTGGAAGAAATAATGCTAAGTGGAGTAAGTCAGGCTATGAAAGACAAATACGGTATGTCCTCACTTAACAAGTATCATGTCCTCACTCACCAGTAGAAGCTAAAAAACTCAATTGCATAGAAGCAGAGAATGTAATGGTGAATACCGGAAGCTAGAAAGTGGAGGGGAGTTGAAAAAGATGGGAAAAGCCTGGATAACAGATTTAAGAATGTATAGAAACAAGTGGAATGAGTTAGAGAATACTATAACACAGTAAAGAACATTAGTGACAATTTAATATTGATCTCCAGATAACCAGTAGACTGAATTTTCAATATGCACAATTCAAAGTAATGCTAAATGGTGGATATATTTATTTTCTTGATATGATTATTATACTTTACATATCTACTTTGAAAATCACACTCTAAACCATGAAGACATACTATTCTTCTATGTAAATTAGAAATTACAATGAGGATTATTACTTTTAAAAACTTACAAAATAATGTATTTAGGAATTAATTTTTTCAATGGGAAAAAAGACCTCTACTCTGAAAATTATAAAACATTGATGAAGGAAATTTAAAAAGACAAAAAAAAAAAAGGAACGTCATCTTATGTTCAAGAGTTGGAAGAATTAATACTGCTAAAATGTCCACACTACCCAAAGTAATCTATAGATGCAATCTCTATCAAAATACCAATGGCTTTTTGTTTTTAACTGAAATAGAAGAAACATTCCTAAAATTCCGATGGAATCACCAAAAACAGAAACAAAAAACTTGAGAGTCAAATCAATCTTTTGTAGGAACATGAAAGCTGTTCCAATTTACATTTCCTCAACAATTTACAAATGTTCTCTTTTTTGCACACCCTTGCTAACACTTGTTTTCTTTTGTCTTTTTGATAATACTTGACAGATGTAAAGTAATATCTACTTTTGGGTTTGATTTGGGCCTCAGTGATGATTAGGGATGTAGAGCACATTTTCATATGTGTGTTGGTCATCGGAATTTCTTTCTTTGAGAAGTGTTTATTTAGACCTTCTTTCCACTTTTTAGTTACTTGTATTTTTCTTCTTGAGTTGTATCTGTTCTTTATATATTGTGTATATTAGTCCCTTATCAGAGCTATGATTTGCCAACATTTGCTCTCATCCCATAGGTTGACTTTTCGGTTTGTTGATTGTTTCCTTTGTTATGTAGAGACTTTTCAGTTTGATGTGATCTAGTCTCTTTTTTATTTTGTCATCTGGGCTTTTGCTACTTTTATCCAAGAGATTTTCATAAAGACCAATGTCAAGAAGGTTTTTTTCTAGTACTTTTACAGTTTCCATTCCTATGTTTAAGTCTTTAAGGCAATTTCAGTTGAATTCTGTAGCATGTGATATAGGAGTCCTATTTCTTTTTTGCATGTGAATACCTACTTTTTCACAAACCATTTGTTGAAGGGAATATCCTCTCCCCAGTGTGCATTCTTGGCATCTTTATTGAAGATCAGTTGACAACAGGGTATGAGTTTATTTCTGGGTTTTCTATTCTGTCCTACTGGTCTATAGGTTTTTTTTTATTCCATCGGCATACTGTTTTGGTTATCACAGACCTGTGACATTATTCGATGTCAGGTACTGTGATGCCTTCAGCTTTGATCTCAAGACCTATTGATTAGGATGTTACCTCTGAGTTTTTCATATATAGTCTGTATTGTGTTGAAGTAAGTTATTTTTACACTTACTTTGTTGAGAGAATTTTTAGTCATGAAACAATGTTAAATTTGTCAAATATATTTTTCCACATCTATTGAAAAGATTGTGTGGCTTTTATCCTTCATTCTGTTACTGTTGTATCGCGTATTGATTAATTTGCATATGTTGAACCATCTTTGCCTTCCAGAAATACATCCTACTTGGTCATCACATATGATCCTTTTAGTGTGCTATTGAATTTAGTTTTCTACTACGGTATTGAGGATTATAATACATTCATAATGTTATTAATTATTCACAATAGCCATATGTCAGTGATATCACAATAAAGCTGTTATGTGTGTGTGTGTGTGTGTGTGTGTGTGTGTGCGTACTTTAGAAATTTGAAGTTGGGGTCATTGGTATGGTGGCTAAGGCAGTTGAATCCCACATGGCCAACCATGTGGCGTGAGTCCTGGACCCGGTAGCTTGGAAAAAATGCTGAGTGCATGTGCATGTGTGCCCAAACTCCTGAAAGGAGAATGAAACAGGGATTGTGGCATGGTCGTACCACCTGGGGGGTGCCGTCTCACTTTCCTTCTCTGTCTCTGTGTCCAGTGAGTGCACATGCCCATAGCAAAAACTGAAACAAGAATTGTGAAGTAAGACAGATTAGGTTTGAGTGTTTGCTGCTTACTAGTGATGTGAGCTGGGGTTAGTTAACTTATCTCTGAGAGGCTCAGTGCCCTCATTCATCAAAGCAGCTACCACATTAGATTGCTGTAAAGATCAGAAGCAATGTGTGCAGTACTCTTAGCCCAGTGCCCTGTACTTAGTAAGTCCTCCTCCAATGACGGACATGATTGCAGCTGTACTGTCTCACGGCCTCCCATACTTGTTAGCACTGGAGCCACGTTTCTGCCAGTATCTAAGGAATTTAGGAGTAGGAGAATCTATATAATTCACCAAAGCCTACCTTCCCCTTGTTGTAACCTAATACACTACCAACACCAACAAAACCAGCTTTCTATGACTTACGGTGCCCCAGATTTCCTGCTGTTGGAGAAATCTGTTAGATTCATCTCTAATACCTCGACTTATGAAACATATAAGCCAAGAAGCGACAGCGTGCCAGGGTGGCAGTTCCCACCACAGTTCCCAGCTCCAGGTGACTTGCGTGTTTGTGCAAACTCAAAGATTCTCAATACCCTACTTGGACTTCCATTGTCTTCTCCCTGCGATGGTATTTTGGGCTGTAGAGTGTTACATAACTTACATTCATATGCTTCATCCACTCGTATCATCTTTTGATATATTATCCCTTTGGAATTAACAAAGTATTTTAAGAAAACAAATATTGCTCCTCTACAAAAGGTAATCATAACTTGAAGAACTGAGAAGATTCAAATGAAATAGCAAGTTTCCTTTCTACCTAAATTTGCAGCATTTGGAATTTTTCACAAATACAGTAGAAAGACAGCTGTGTCTTCTTAGGCGAAAACTTTTTAAACAATACACTGTTCTGTACCTTACTTATTTTCTTTAACAATGCATCTGAATTTAGTTCTATATAAGTAAATAATAAGTTATCTTTAAGTAATGTTTACTCTAATGTACAATGTGTTCAGTCGTATGCAAAGAACATAATTTATTTTCCTAACCCA